CAGCCAAACAAATACGCCTTCTGGGCTACGAAGTCTCTAAAGGAATTATCAAACCAGATCCTGAACGAATGAAACCTATTCGTGAACTCCCTCATCCACATGACGCTAAATCCCAACAACGTGTGTTGGTATGTTTCAACACTGATGTTGCTGTCTTCGATGATGAGGCGGCAGTTGTCAACCCAACCCAGTTTACTGGTTAGTATTTTCATACTTCGGCCAAATATTATCCCCTTCTCAGTCGCTTCCACTCAGCACAGGGATTGGCGAAAAGAGCTCAAAGAGACGGAAAGTCTTCTGGCATGCGAAGTACATGTCCCAACCAGCGTAACTTATGGAGCGTGAGTGGGGGCGAGATGGCTCAAGTGGTTAGAGCGCGAATTTACTGACCGGAAGGTCCGTGGTTCGAACCTCATCTCTAACTCTCGGCTTTCCTGTCTAGGCTTGAGCGACCTGGCAGTATCCCAACCGTCGTGCTTCCTTCGGGTGGCATGACAGCTAGGCACCGGAAGGGTGTTACAGCTGAACGAATAATTTTTTTTAATTTTTATGGAGTGAGAGTAATTCATCTAACGTGCGGGAGTTCCTACTTCCTAGAACCATCTGGCATTACTAATTCGACGTTCAATAATTCGCCGACATCAGTGGCCAAACATTGACATCTTTCGTATATCCGTAGAGACCACGTTTCTGATACATAAAGCAGTATGGATCGTACCAGCGTAGTGTGCCAATATGATCAGCAATGATAAATTAAAAGAAATTCACGATTCCTTGTGCCATCCTGGAATCACTCGAATGCACCACTTTGTTCTTTCCAAAAACCTGCCGTTCTCTCTCCAATATGTCAAGGACATCACCACAACGTGTACGGTTTCCGTCCGCCATCTCGCTCCTTGTGGTGACCACACACATGTCAACGATCCCACGCGTACCTCACCCAATGAAGACAATGGTGTTCATGCACCCCCTCTATCTGACTTGCACACGCCTCCGCTCAATAACATTGGAGATGATATTGATCGTACTTCAGTCTCACCCCCGTGCCCCGGCAATGCACCTGCATCTCCAGATACATATGACCCTGGCATCTCTGATTTAGCCAGGCTCCAGCAGCGTACACGGCCCTACGTTTCAAGAAATCGAGAAGCCTAACCACACTCTCTACTACTCATTAGATTTTTACAATCATTCATCCAATACCTGTACCCAATTTATCCCTCTACACACAATCCAACGGCCAGGGTGAATGTCATGAATATTCTTTGTGCTCACATTATCGTGTTGTATTAACCACGCTTTTGCCTTCGTTTTCAGCTTATGTACGTCTATTCTTAGACAAGTAAAGCGCTATTAATTCTACGCTATTCATTCTTGTTCTCGCGCTCAATCAGAACCGATACTCTATTCGTAACAGCCCTTAACAGACAAAGTGACGTCACGTCGGCGCCATATGTGCCAGGGGTTGATAAA